CATATTGCTGCCAGTGATTCTTTTCAAAAGGCTAGTCTTAATGTTTCCTTCTCTTATTTAAAATTTCTCCTATGGCTGGCTCCATCTGGCATTCAGTATACTGTTCAAACCCCTTTACATAGAGTGTAATTTTCTTTACAATAGGCTGCTTTCTGCTTCTCTAGTATTACTCCTACCACTCCCCTACCTTATGCTGTAGTCATGGCAAACTACTATAGTTTCTGGAATGTGGCACGCTAATAGTTGACCTGAAATGACCTTCTTTTTCTTATCTATGATGTTTTCAAATGTTGTTTCTATTAACATGAAATTTCTTCCTTGATTCCTCTTTCTCCACGTGGTATATATGCTTCTCTCAGTTTCTAGAAGTACTGGCTTGCAGCCTGCCTTAACGTTGTCATATTATCCTGTAATTATTCATAAATGTGACTTTCCTGCTTGTTTGTATATTCTTTTGTAGCACGAACAATGTATTTTTCCATTTTGTATTCTCATGCTGTAGACAGTGCCTAGCACCTAATAGGGACTCAGGTTTGAATGAATAAATGAGTGAATGAAACTCAGTCAGTACAATCAAGACATCTTAATGCAGCTTGTTGAGAGTTTACTGGTCATCTGAATGTATTATGGGATGAAGGAGTTCTTGAAATTACCCAAGGAAATTATATACTATAAGATCAAACTTGTGTAACTATGATATCCATCCATATATAAGGGCAAAACAAATTTGCCTATTGAAGAGTAATCCAGCGAGTGCTGCAAATTTAACAAACAGGTTAATTGGCAAATGCTGCAGCAAAGAGAAGTGCGTGATTTAAAAAATGTCATAAAATACCCTTTTCTCACCCCCAACACATATTTTTTGAGGCTTATTTTTGAAGAAAGTACTGTTGTACACTTACTAGTTCTGAAAAATTGGAAACCCTAGACTAGCTACCAGTTAATCAACTTGTTTAATTTCTAAAATTAATTAAAATGTAAGAATGTTTATGTGACATCATAGCATCTGATAACATTGTTTATCAGTATGCTGAGTGAGTTGGCTTTTGTTCTAAGTGCTCAGACTCATATACAATTATATTTAAATTTTTGAAAAGTTTAGAAATCATTTTCTTGATTAAAAAATAATGTACTTTTTCTTTTTTTAAAAAAAAAACTGGCATGAGGTCTCAAAGTTTGAACTGTGGTAGAAGCAATGAGAGTGAAATTCAAGTATAGTAAGTAAGGAAGAATTTGCAGAACTTGGGAACTAATGTCAAAGATGATACTAAGATTTTTAGCTTGGCTGCTTGAGACAGGAGTGGTACCACTTACAGGTGTCAAAGACCACAGTTGAGTATGAGGTTAAGGGATCCAGTGAACTCTCACTGGATTTTTTTTTAAGTGTTCAGTGAACCACAACCAAAAAAAGGTTAACAAATGATAATACGTGTGGCTCGATTTTCCATAGATCACCATGGATTTGAAATAGAGATTGTAGGAGTTTTAAGTGGGAAGGAAGATGTATTCAACCAATTGAATACATTTAGGGACGTAAAAATATGACTAGAGATAGAGATAAGACCAGTGATGATTTAGAGGGGGTGGTATAATGGATGGTACCTGATATGAGGCAGCATGAGACTATTGTTGGGAAGTAATACTGGATACAAAGGCAAAGGCCACTGCTCTGTGAATGTCAATTATATAACTATACAGACTAGTGTTTCATATGGAAAAGTCCATATATTTTCTCAAATACAAAGCTCTACTATATTCATATCAGTTATCTATATCTTTGATCTACCCTGCCGTACAGCTGAGAGCATAATTAACAAAGCCCTTTTCATCAGTTGTGTCATAAGGAGTTTTTATAATTTGGTTACTTAGTAAGACTTGTTGAGGGGCAAACTAAAACTTCCTGGTGGGATATACTTTTTATTTATTGTTTGTAGAAATAAGTTAAATGCCATCTATAAAAACTTTTTGTATAGAAATTTGTATTACACAATTTTATTTCAAACTGTAATAGTTAACGATGGCTCTGGGATGATGGCTATCAATCATAACAAAGTTGTTTTTAATCTTTATTTTATTTTTTTGGAGACTTGCTCTGTGGTCCAGGCTAAAGTGCAATGGTGTGATCTCAGCTCACTGCAACCTCCACCTCCTGGGTTCAAGCAATTCTCCTGCCTCAGCATCTCCAGTAGCTGGGATTACTTTTTTGTATTTTTAATAGAGATGGGGTTTCACCATGTTGGCCAGGCTGGTCTTGAACACCTGACCTCAAGTGATCTGCCTCCTCTGCCTCCCAAGGTGCTGGGATTACAGGTGTGAGCCACCATGCCTAATCTTTATTTTAGATAAAAAACATGAAGATTTGTCAGTACTGTTTAAACATTAGCATATTCATAATTGGCACCAATTTTATTTTAAAATACATTGTCTTTTAAATTGACATTTATGTTTCAATTACTGTAGGGTACATGTTATTTAAGATAATGAAATGCAGCAGTGTGGGTTAATGGAAAGAACAGCAATTTTGAGCTAGGCAGATCTGATTCTGACTGTTATGGGTTGGTTTGTGTTCCCCCACAAGATATGTTAAAATCCTAACTCCTGATATCTGTGAATGTGACCTTATTTGGAAATGGGGTCCCTATAGACGTAGTCAAGTTAAGATGAGGTCATTAGGGTGGGACTGTATCCAGTGTGACTGGTGTGCTTATAAGAAGGAAACAGACAGAGAAATAAGATGATATGAATAGGGAGACATAGACAGAATGCCATGTAACAGTGGAGGCAAAAATGGAGTAATGAAACTTCAAGCCAAAGAACTGCAAGGATTGCTGGCCACTGCCAGAAGTTAGGAAGAGGCAAGGATGTTTTCTACCCAGAGTCTCGGAGGGAGTCTGGCCCTGCTGACAACATTAAATTTAGACTTTTGGCTTCCAGAACTGCGAGAGAATAAACTTTTCTTGATCTAACACATCCAGTTTGTGGTAATTTGCTACAGCAGTACTAGAAAGCTAATGTAGTCACATACCAGTTGTATGGTCTTGGACAGTCACTTAACCTCTGAATCTCACTTTCTTCATATATAAGAGACTACGAAGAGTTCTGGCATGGAGTAAGCATTTGGAAAATAATTGCTGGCTTTGCTATTGCTCTTCTTTCTTCGAAGACAATTTACATTTATGTATCACCTCATTCATTTATCATTTCCAACTTTGAGATTGCGACTTACTGAGTGGATTAGAAGTAAAACTTTGCCTATGATTCCTATTAGAGTCTCTCATTTATAGTAACACAATAGATTTTATATGGCTCAGAATTTTTAGTATATAAATAGTTTTTTTGTAGCTATAAGTTTAAAACAAAGCTTCTGATTATTCTTTTCAAACTGATCTTTACAAAAAGAACTAGAGATGGGTTTTCTGAGGTTCGAAGTAATTTAAATATGGTTGTTTATTTATTTGTTACCCACTTTTATCTGATGACGAAACCCCAGTCATCATTGCTTTTTAGAGAAATTAGGTTAATCTGGTGTTGTTTGCTCATCTATATTTTGGTGGAGGGTGTTTTCCTACATCGATATATTATCTAGTTAATAAAAAGGAAGCATTTTAAGTACCTTTTTTTTTCTTTTTGAGACAGAGTCTTGCTCTCTTGCCCAGGCCACAGTGCAGTGGTGCAATCTTGGATCATTGTAACCTCTGCCACCGGGGTTCAAGCAATTCTCCTGCCTCAGCCTCCAAGTAGATGGGATTATAGGCATACACCACCATGCCCAGCTAATTTTTTTTGTATTTTTAGTAGAGGTGGATTTTTGCCATGTTGGCCAGGCAAGTCTTGAACTCCTGACCTCCAATGATCTGCCTGCCTCAGCCTCCCAAAGAGTTAAGATTACAGGTGTGAGCCACTGCTCATGGCCCATTTTAAGTACTTCAGAAAATATTGTTCAGTACTCCAGGATACTGTGCTGCTTTATTGTATACCCTTCTCTCACTCTCAATATCCATATCCACTTTCTCTCTTATCAGGATCTGGATTATACACATTACTTAGTTTACAATAATAGTGACCTCTGTGGAAAACTTAAAATGATATCACTCATTTTTTAGTCTTAGGTAGGAAGCAATGTAGCTTACGTTACTTCCTCTTAGGCAAGAATATGGACAACTGTTCAACTCTTAGAGCCTTCTCTTTTAGCCTGAGATCTCTCAGTGACAGAGCAGAGAACTTTGCTGCTGTGCTGTAACACCAGTGGCATTGATATGACTCATAAAACTAAAGTTACCTGCTTTAGTCACCTAGAGTAGGGCTAATAATGTCATGATCTTCCTAGCCCCTGGCTTATGTCTGCTATACCTATTGTCACTGGAACAAGCTTCTTTGTTGCTTCTGGTGTTTCTGTACCTCATGCAAGTACCAGTATCTTTGGGAAGGGTACGATCTGCTGAAGGTTTCAATGCTACTGTTTATTTAGAAATTCTAGAGTTTCTAGAATTCTGTTACCTGAGCTTTAAAGCCACACTGCTCTAGCTTATATTGGCCTAAGGTCGCAAAAGCTATTCCTTTAGCTTCTACTCTGCAATCTTATTCCGCCCTTCTTTTTCTGAGACCTAAATTTTTATTACTGGTTGCCAATTGTTTACAAGTTACTTTATACATTTGTATAAATAGTATGAGAAATGAGATAATTGGAGAACCTCTGATTTTCAGATTTTTATCTCTAATTTGGAACTTTGGAAGTCTCAAATTTGTACTTTTCGTTCTATTCTTGTGTGTATTAAGCTATGCTTGCATTGTTAAAAATAAATAGCTGCCGGGCGCGGTGGCTCACGCCTGTAATCCCAGCACTTTGGGAGGCTGAGGTGGGTGGATCACGAGGTCAAGAGATCGAGACCATCCT